GTGTGAAATTAGTCGCTCTCCATTTGAGACACACGGCAGATTCCTTAAAGGAATTGAATATCTTGGAATATGGGGAAAGAAGTATTCTACGGATTAAACACTGGGATTAAACACTGTTCTGCACTGGATAGGACACAATCACAATACACAGGTGGGAGAGACGTTTTCCGTGGGATCTAGAGGCAAAGCTTCACCCTGCGCAGTTTCTTCAGGGCAGCCCCACATCCCTCTTCTGTCTGTTATGAACGCGTCCACTCTTTTCCTCTTGTTCTTGACCAGATGCACTGACACTCACAAAAGTGACGCTAATGCTTGAGGTTACATGTGTATGAAGAATAATACGATAATGTCGATTACTTTACAGCTAAGAATGTACATATTTTTATGTCGAAATGACTTTATGGAATGATATGTGCATTTGTATCAGTAACAGCCTTTGGTAGCACCTAAAATACTCTTTTTAGTCTCGGGAGCCTGCTGAGCTTCATGGGGTCTGAAAGCATGCTTCTGAGAGCTTTTGGAGATCGCTTACAGGCAGCACTCCCCACAAATCTGCGTAAATCCCTTAAGGAAGCCTCCGGGACCTTCGCATTCCCCGCGGAACCTAAGCCTCTGGGACTGTTCTGGTGCGGAGCATCTTCGCCAGCGCCTCTACTACATTACCCAGAGGGCTCCGCGCCGAGAGGCAGCGGGCTGAGCCAATGAAGGCCCAAGGTAAGAGCTCTTCCGTGCGCTTACAGCGCTTCGGGCGGGACTTCCGGCGTCCTGGTTGTGGCGGTCGTTTTGGGTGTTCCTGGGTTTTTTCCGTGGCGACCGACAGGGAAGGGGCGGGAAGAGGCCCCGTCCCCGGAGCGCCGACTGGGGTTCGTGGCTCGGCGACGCCGCCTGTGCTGCCCCGCGCCGGGCCCGGGACCGCGGGGCCGGGACAGAGTCCAATGGCAGTGGCCGCGCCCAGGGACCCGGCTGAGGTAAACTCGCTGTCCCCGGGCCCTCCCCGCCCTCCCCCCCGACAGACCCTCCAAGCCGGAGCGCGGGGCACCTGCTCGCTCCCTGCGGCCCAGGTCCCGGTGTCCGGGCCCGGGAGGCGCTCGCGGGCGGGGACCCCGCGTCTAAGCGCCGGCGTGACGGGGTGCGGGAGCGGGCTGCAGGGGAGGGGCCCCTCGGTGCAGGGCTGCAGGGGGGCCCAAGGCGGGAGGATTCAAGAGTGTGGGGTCCGCCTTCTGCCCTCGGAGAACGGAGGATGTGCGGCGGGGTCACGGGGGAACTGGCGGGCTGGGGCGTGGTAGGGGCGCTGGGACCCATGGATGGTTGTGAAGACAAGAGGGACACGGTCTGATTTAGGGGTTTAAAAGTTTTCCAGGAGCTGCTCAGGGAGAACCGACTGGAATGGGGGTGATGAGGACAGCGAGGCACAGGGAGGTTGGGTCCAAGCGCAGAGAACTGGCAACGGGGAGCGCTGAGGACTGAAATTCAGACTTTAGTGTTTCAGCCCTAGGTCTGGCTTCCAGGGCTGGAAAGATGCACGGGAGGTTCGGGCCGGTTGAAATACACCGTGGTCCCCAGCCTCTGTGGCCTCTATGGCCTAATTCTGCCTGTAGGGCCCCGTGGCTGAAGTAGCACTCGTGGAGGGTGTCCCTGGGCCTCGCTGGTTTGGATCTTGCCCATATCAACTTTGGGATTGTGGTGTTCTGGGACTCTTCACCTGCCTCTCTGCTAGCCCTTTTGGTGTGGGGATCTGGGAGAAATCCCACCGCCAGGAAGTGATCTAGACTCGTCCTGAGTCCAGGCTGAGGGTTGTATGCAGGAGTTCTTGTTTCTGGAATGGAAGGAGGCGTAGAAGGTTATCCCAGGAACAGGTACCAGCATGTGCAGGTGCTTGTTAGTGTGGGAACAGGGCACAGCATGTCTTCTTTCTCTTAGGAACAAAGAGCAGGGGACTGGAGTTAGTCTCCGAAATGGCTGCCTGAGAAGTTGGGCAACTATAATGGACGTAATGGGAGATTGGGAGCGGAGGAGGGAGATGATCGTACCCAGGTCCAGACAGGCTCCATCGGGTTGTAGAGTGGAAAACAGACTTTGGGGGTGAGGGAGGAGGATGGGTGACCAGGGAAGAGGGTACTGGAATAGTCCAGGTGAGTGTTCATGGACTAGAGTGGTAGCTGTGGAGGTGGGAGAAGTGGTGGGTATTCTGGATACATTTTTCAAGAAGGGCTGATTTTGAGGGTGAGAGAGAGAGAGGAAGGAGTGAGAGATGACACTAGAGTGTTGGTCTGAGCAGCAAGAAGGGTGGAAATTCTATCAGCTGAGACTGGAAAATCCGTGGTAGTGGTTTTCACTGGGGGGTGGCAGGAGCTGAGAGAACAGACGACTGTGGCATCGAGTGGGCAGCTGGACACAGGTCTGGAAATCTGGGGTGGGGCTTAGGATGGAGACACCCAAAGGGGTGGCTAGCATGTGTACCAGGCCGTGATGATACTTAGAAGATGGAATTCAGGTCATGGCAGTGGTGTTATCAGCAGGTCAGAAAGAAGATTAAGAGTTCTGAGGACTAGCTCTATTGCTTGGGTACCTGGTTGGGGGTTAGGAGGATCATAAATACAGATGTAGGAGAGAAGTGGCCACGAAGGGAGTATGTGGGGAGGATGGTCTTGGCAGGTGACCAAGACTTCCGAGGGAAGAGCGGACCGGAGACAGATTTGGAGGCATCAGATTAATTGAGATAAGATGGGTTTACTATGACTTTGTGGTAAGCTTTGGTGGTTTCTGGGGGTTTTGCTGGTGGGTAATGTCTGGGGCAAATGTGGTTGTCTGTGAGAATTACTATGCCTGGTACCGGGATGGCTGGGCTTTGAAGGAGAGTAGGTGGAAGGAACATGGTTGTGGCTGCTGAGGGGACAGCAAGTGCAGCACAGAAGTGGGAGAGGGTCATGGATATATGAAATTCACATGTGGTGCTATGTGACTGACGTTGAAGCAAGGACTGGAGACAGGCGGAGAGGCCTTCAAAGCAGCATCCAGGGCTACCCCTGGTGTTGGGATTCATCAGAGGTCTGGGGTAGTACTGGATCCTATTTGGATCTGCCCAGTTCTTTCTGGATGCCACGTACCAGGTAACCTGGCGCAAGTCCAGAGAGAGAGATGCATATGGTGTGGGGCAGGGAGTTGGTGGTGGCTGTGGGGATGCAACTCTGGGGTACGAAGGCGTGAGAGGGGTGCATGTAGAGAGAGGGATATGAATTGATGGTCCTGGGCCCTGGTACTGGAAACTTAGGGGTGATGGGTGACCCCAAATTTTATTGTGAGTCATGATAACAGAGGACTCCAGGGAATCGCATGGCAGGGAGAGATGTGGTCCTGGAATCCTCGGGCATATTCCCGAGTGTAGATGGTGTCTCTCTGCCTACCTGCCTGCACTTGTTGAGGGCTGGGCATTTGGTTAATAGAACCATGAAGAAAGAGTAGAACCAGCAGAACCGGGTTTCTCTGCTGAGGTGGGGAGCTTGGGAAGAGGATGGGCATGGGGTAGATGTGTGGGTTTGGATTGTGGGTCCTCAGGAGGCTGTGGTTTCATCTGTCCCCAACATGACAGGACAGTGTGACTTTGGAGGACGTGGCCGTGTATTCTCCTGGGAGGAATGGGGTCTCCTTGATGAGGTTCAGAGACGCCTGTGCCACAATGTGATGCTGGAGAACTTGGCACTTATAACCTCCCTGGGTAAGGCCCTCACACCCACCAGTGACCTGGGTAGTGACTTTGCCTTTCTGCTTTTCCCGAGGGGCCGCTGTGTCTTTACATCCAGACCATGGCCACCGCGTCCTTCCTGGGTAGGACTCCTGGGTAGGTGCTGTTGTTGCTATGACTGGGCGGTACTGCCGTCTTCTCTCCCTGCTACCCCAGTACCCGCGACCTTTCCTGGTAGGAAAGGGTTCTAGGGAATCCTAGGCAGTCTTGGCCATCAGCCGAATGGACCCCACCTGGCTTGCCCCCTCCCTAGCTGCGTGGCTTCTGTAGATCCCTGGTACCTGCTTACCTCAGGTTTGCACGCCTGCACGTGCCAGGAATTGCCGTCACTGACACGGACACTGCTTACATGCACGATAAGCTGTTCTGTGAGACCTTTGTCTGAGGTTCTTTTTGTAACGTTCAGTTTTCTTTGCTTTGTCATGTCATAAGCTGGGCTGGTACAGGCTACTTACCTGTCCTGTCTTCCCCTTTCCCTTAGGACTTGGTTATCCTAGTCCTGTGTAGTTGCTCCGTTAGGGGTGTCGGGGAGAGTTCTGGCTGCTTCACAGAATAGATACCACTCCCGCCATGGGACAAGGGGCTGGAGGGGGCCTGGCCCTGCTGAGTGGCAGCTGAGGGAAGACATGACATCGGGACCGTGTTCACATCATACCAGCAATCTGTTCAAACCAGTGTTTTGGTGCCATTTCCACTGGCCACACCTCATTTCCACCTTTTCTTCCCTGTTCTTGCCGCTTGGCCAGTTTGTCCTTTTTACTGACTTCTGGCCCCTAGCCACTCCCAACTTCCTGGCATCTGTCTGCTGCCTGCTCCTTTCCACTGCTGCCTCTGCAGGGCCCCCGGCATTGGCTCGTGCGTAACGGATGGTGAGCGTGTATCCTCAAATGTCCTTGAACACCAGCTACTCACTAGCAATCTGACTTTTCTGTTCCTGGACCAGAGCTTCTTCACAACACTCACGTGTGAGCAACAGCCCTCCTGGGGGTCGTCCTCAGAGGAGCAAGTCGGAAACCCCGACTGCCTCTCTCCACTGTGCTACATCCCATTCCTCCTCGTTCCGCCTTGCGAGGCCTCCCTACTTCCGTGACCTTTTAGAGTCCAGTACTGCAAAACAGCCCCTTCCTCACCTTGCCTCCCAGCTCCCTCATCCTGAAAACAGCCTCACGCATTCATTCCTGGGTGTGTCAGGCACATGTTTGTAATGTGGCTGCCACCCGTCCCCACGTGTACTTGACTAGCATTTCTCTGTTTTCAGATTATTTTTGTGGAATAGACAATGAAGAGGCCCCTTCTGGACAGAATGTTTCTCTGGGAAGAACACCGCCAAGCAGGACTTCGGGGCCAAATCTATCCACCCAGAAGCTTCATCTCTGTGAGATGTGTGTTCCTGTCATGAAGGATATTTTGTACCTGGCTGAGCTTCAGGGAACACATACCAGGCAGAAATCCTACACACGTGTGGCACGTGGGAAACGATTCTGTTTCAGTGCAGATCTTCGCCAACACCAGAATGAGCACGGTGGGAAAAAGCCCTCTAGCAAGGACGTGGACAGGGCTTCCTTTGCGAAGACCTATAGAGGCCATTCATTAGGGAAGCCTTTCACCTGTGGGGAGGTTGAAAAGGACTTCCTGGCCAGTGTGGCCAGTGCTGTGAGTATACACAGCAGTACTAAGTGTGAGGAAGTCTTTCGCAGTGGGAAAAGTTCTTACAGATGTGGCGAATGTGGAAAAGCCTTCTGTCGTAAACGTACCCTTGTTCAGCATCAGAGAATTCACACTGGAGAAGGAATGTTTAAGTGCAGTGACTGTGGGAGAACCTTCAGCTACAAGCATACGTTTGTTCAGCATAAGATAGTCCATGCTGGAGTAAAGCCTTTTGAGTGCAGTGAATGTGGAAAGGCCTTCAGGTTTAAGTATAAACTTGTTCAGCACCACCGTACTCACACTGGAGAAAGGCCTTATGTGTGTAGTGAATGTGGGAAAGCTTTTGGGTGCAAATCCAAACTTGTTCGGCGCGAGAGAATTCACACCGGAGCAAGGCCTTATGAGTGTGCTGAATGTGGCAAATATTTTAGACAAAGCTCCGGCCTTGTTCAACATCGGAGAATTCACACTGGAGCAAAGCCTTATGAATGTGACGAATGTGGAAAGTCCTTTAGCCAAAGCTCTATCCTCATCCAACACCAGAGAGTTCACACTGGAGAAAGGCCATATGAGTGCAATGAATGTGGGAAAGGCTTAGACAAAGCTCCAGTTGCATTCAGCATCGGAGAGTTCACACGGAATAAGGCCTTATGAATGTAGTGAATGTGGGAAGTCCTTTAGCCAAAGCTTCAGGCTTATTCTACATTGGAGAATTCACACTGGAGAAAGGCCTTATGAGTGCAACGAATGTGGAAAATCCTTTAGCCAAAACTACAGCCTCATTCAACACCATAAACTTCACACTAGATAAAGGCCTCAGGAGTGCAGCCAGCACAAGAAAGTTCATTAAACAGTCTGCTCTGATTTAACACCAAAACTTCACGACCCACGTTAGTTTTATGAATCAGCAAATGTGCAAAAATGTTCAGCCAAAGATCTAAACTCATTGAGCATGAGAAAGAAATTCCACTTAAGATGGTGGCCTTAAACCTTCAGCGAACGTGCTCTTTGTTCAGCGTAACAACACTAGAGAGCATCTGTGCAGAGCCATCTGCTGTGTATTCCAGTTGTGAGAAGTTTTCAGGAGCTGCATTTCATATTCTGACCTGCGCAGACCTTGCCAGAATTATGTCACTGCCAGGTGGTAGTAGAAGTCATTTTGCCTCTGACACCTGGCAGGTCCTTATGGCACGCGTGTCACCTCAGCATGCTTAGGGAAGACAGATGTTTGCACTCTGTCTCCCATCCTCTAGTGAAAATCATAATCTGATCCCCTGGGGGTTCTCATTCGCTTTCTTCTGACTAGTATGGCAGGGACCTGACCCACTTTTTGCTGAAAGGATCCAGTCTAGGAACTGCTGAGTTTGTAAAGTTTTACCTTCATGGTGTTAATTGGTCTCATGCAATATTTTTTATAGGTTTTCCAGCCTCCAACTCACTGATCTGGGACCTGTGTGTCTCACATTTGCTCTGGTTTGTGCAATAATAAAAGTCTTATTAAGTGACCTTTAATCTTAAGATTTTTGTTTATTGTGTGGGGTGGGTTGAAAACAGAATTGGGCTCTGCCATTGTGGAGAGGTGGACAGCTTTCTTGAGACATCATGGGGACAGTATGACATCACAGACTACCCATCATTCACTATAGTTTTTACCTTATCTGCCTTCCTGTCTGGTTTAAAAACAAACATAATAATAAATATTTGGTGTTTGTCCCTACTTCCTAGCACAGAGATTCTAAAACCCTTGGGATTTCCTGAGTGATAAGACTGTCTTTTGTATGATAGTGAAATGACTCAAGATGGAGGCCAATAAAGGAACTTCAGGATTGGGGCTGGTCACCAGACATTAGAAGGTTTGAATTTTAAGCCCTACCTTTGACATCTGGGGAGGGGAAGGAGTGAGAGATTGAGTTCATCCACCAATTGCCAATGATTTAGTCAACCATGCCTATATAATGACACCTTGTTAAAAACCTCTAGACAATAAGGTTTCACACTATCCAGACAGGAGGGGAGTGCACACTGATTCCACTGGGATAGAGGTTCTTGTGCTTGGGGTTCTTATGGAATTCACCCTATGTACTTCTTTATCTGGTTGTTAACGTGTGTCCTTTATAGTAGACTAATAGTAAATATAGCATTTTCCTGAGTACTGTGAGTTATTCTAGCAAATTATCAAACCTGAGTGGGGACTCAAGGCAACACTAACTTTGTAGTCAGACTGGCAGAAGTGGGGTTAACCTGGGACCCCATTTGTGGCTACCATCTGAAGAGACAGTTGTGGGATGGAGTCCTTAACTGTAGGATCGAGTGGGGATAAGTGTCAGAATTGAATTGAATTGAACACCCAGTTGGTGTTAGAATGACACGTTTGCTATCAGAAAAAGCCAGATACTGCATAAGGCCTTCTAAGAAAGGTCTGTGGTCCTAATTTGTGACCTGAGTGCCAGGATTTTTTGTAGGACCAAAGATTGCCCTGAGGAGGGCACAGTTGTGACAACCAACAATGCTTTTGGAAGTGAAAAGGCTAGGATGTCATAATTTCCCCCAGTCATAGTGACAGAAATCAGCAGTGTTTGAATTATGCTTGAACCTGACATTAAGGCCCAATTCTGTAAAATGAATTAGAAAGGGACACCTGGGTGGCTCAGTCGGTTACGCATCCGACTTTGGCTCACGTCATGATCTTGTGGTTCACAGGTTCGAGCCCCACGTCAGAGCCTGGAACCTGCTTCTTGGATTCTGTGCCTCCCTCTCTCTCTGCCCTTCCCATTCGTACTCTATCTTGATCGATCTCTCTCTCTCTCTCTCAAGAATAAAACATAAACATTTTTCTTAATGAATTAGGAAAATACAGAGTGCTTAATCTTTCTCTGACTGAAATTACTGAGATACATGAGTATTAAAAAACCAGTTTTAAAAGTTCTCATCAATAATTACCATTAAGCTTAGAGTTCAACTTAAGGCTTATCTCTGCATGGAAATTTGATTGAGACCATTGATGGTGACTTCCTAATTGCACAACGTCCACCTACATTTTTATCAGCCCAGAGAAACTTTGCATTCTCCGTGTTCCATTTGCTCAGACACCATATCAGAAACAAAGCCTCACTAGTTCTCTTTTGTTTTAAGGAGAACACATATTACAAAGCTAAGCTAGGAGTCTAAGGTGTTTTGTTACTGTTTTTTTTTACCCCAAATCTGCAATCTTTAAGGTGACATCCAGATGCTAAGGGCTCCTTGAAATCTTATTTTTGCTTTGTCACTAACCCCACTTCAGTTGTGTGGACTCAGTAGCATCTTCAGGGTGCATCATAGGCTATTTGTAGCAGAGTACCTGGTTCCTATTTAGGGTTCCAATGGGAACTTTCCTTACAGCGAAACCACTAGATCCAAACAATTAGGGAAGCATACTTGCCCCCTACCCCAATGACACATGGCAGCCATTTATATCACAGAGCATACGCTGGCCACAGATAGAGGGGAAAGCCAGATCCACCATCTGGGGTCACAAACACGTTCTCTACCATTTAGAGCCTTGTAACTCCCTACACCACAGCAATCAATGCTCTAACATTCCACCGTTGCCATCAGCTAAAAAAGACTCTATTTTGATTACTTACTAGGCTTGTTGCCACTACCTTCGAACCTCTCATCCCTGAGTTGGGGAGTCCAGATAATCCAGGACCTCTGCTGTATCCTGCATTGTCCTAATAATTACCTGTAAAGAGGTCAGTCTACTCAAAGAGCTGATGTTATGATCTGTCACTTAAAAGCTTCCCAAAGCCTGATCAGGACCTTACCCGAATCCTCCAGCTGTCCTCTCTTCCAGCAGCTCCTTTCCCTCCCATTACTTGCCTGTCCACCTTGGTGTTCCTAGCTCAATATATTCATGAAAATTTCAAGAATGCCAAATAAATCAATTTTTAACTTTGTAACGTTCTTCCAGGATTACTTTTGTCTATGTTAATATTCTGCCACCTTTATACAGAGCATAGAAAATCATTATTTGGGGGGCACCTAGGTGGCTCAGTCGGTCAAGCGTCCGACTTGGCTCAGGTCATGATCTCGGGGTTCATGAGTTTGAGCCCCACGTTGGGCTTTGTGCTGACAACTCAGAGCCTGGAGCCTGCTTTGGATTCTGTGTCTCCCTCTCTCTCTGCCTCTCCCCCACCTGTGGTCTCTCTCTGTCTCTAAAATGAATAAACATAAAAAAATCATTATTTGGTATCATTTGACAACATCTTCTGCCTCGTAAATCTAAAACAATTCTCTTATGGGCTCCCTGTGTTGAAACGGAAATGATGCCTCCCTTCAATGTAGGGTCAATTCCTTGATTATTGACACTTAAAGATGACCTCCCCATGTCTTAACTTTTAAGGAGTTTTGTTCTTGGTCTATCAGATCTCTTGACTGACAAACCCACCCCTCACTGATCTTCAGTCTCTTAATCTCCTTTACAAAAAGTACAAAAGTACAAAAAGCAGTAAGTCTGTGTACTTCATAAAATAACTACCCTTCACTCTGATCTAGTACATTTTCTTACCTAGCTTTGCTCTCCCTCACTCTCTATGGCTATATTTTCACAAGCACTTTCTCTCTCTTTTTGTTTTTTATTTCAACTCCTGTGTGTTTCCTACTCATTCGTATGAAAGTTTGTCTTCACAGCTTCATCATCATCAATGAACTTATGAACACATTAATGACATTTAAATTTTTCCTTAAAGTTTTTTTCAGCGGCTTTTGGCACCACAGGGTTTTTGTTGTTGTTCTGTATTCTTTTTTTTTTTTTAATAATGTTTATTTTTGAGAGAGAGAGAGACAGAGCATGAGCATGAGCAGGGAGGGCCAGAGAGAGAAGGAGACACAGGATCCGAAGCAGTCTCCAGGCTCTGAGCTGTCAGCACAGAGCCTGATGCAGGGCTTGAACTCACGGACCGCGAGATCATGACCCGAGTTGAAATTAGATGCTCAACCAACTGAGCCACCCAGATGCCCCTGTTGTTTTGTATTCTTAACTGAATATGCTGGCTCAAGAAGAAAAACAAATATATTCTCTTAGTATTGTAATGAATGAGGGTCCAATTAACAGTCATCTCTTAATCTGTATATACTTTTTGGTGATCTTATGCAATGGCATGATTATAAATAATATGATGAGCTCAAAACTTTAAAGTGTGTATCTCCATTGAAAAATCCAGCGATCAGCTATCTAATGATCTATTTGCAACCTATTTCTGGACATCTGGTAGACATGACAGACTCCACACTTAAACTTCTCTGAACTCTCTTTAAAAATTTTTTTTAAAATAAACTATTTTTTAAAGAGTAGTTTTAGGGGCGCCTGGGTGGCTCAGTCGGTTGAGCGTCCGACTTCGCTCAGGTCACGATCTCACGGTCCGTGAGTT